CTTTATGAAGATGAGTATTTTCCTGCAAAGACAAGAACAGAACCCTGCTCCAACTCTTATGAGGTTTTCTTACTGCCTGTATGATTGTCACCTCTATGGGTGAGCCATCATTTCTCTTTCTCAAGAGGTTTCTCTTTTTCAAACCCAATCTTTATTAATTTTGATCTATGGCTTTTCTTCTCCTGTGGAAACAAGAGCAAAATCCCTCCCCCAATGTAGCACATCTCCTGGTTTCCATTGTGAGGTCATCACATCCTTGAAATATACCAGGTGATTTAATTCAGAAGTTTTTTCTATTATACAATGTCTCTCTGCTGCTGTTGTTCCTTTCTCATTAGCATTAAGAAAATTCAAGGTTAGTAAAGGATTGTACAATCTATTTCTGGGGGTATTTTCCATACCTTTCTGTTTGTTTAACATGTACTTTATAGTTCTATTTGATCTTTCTATAACTGCCTGACCTATAGGATTATTTGGTATACTTGCAATATGCTTTATATTTTAATAAGCAAAAAACCATTTCATTTTCTTAGAGACATATGCTGGACCATTATCTGTCTTTATTTGTGTAGGTATAACTATGATGGCCATAACGTCTAATAAATAATGTGATTACTGAATTGGCTTTTTCTGAGCTCAAAACAGTTGCCCATTAAAAACCCAAATGAGTATCAATGTTGTGGTATACATATTTTAATTTTCCAAAATCTGCAAAGTGGAACACATCCATCTGCCAGATTTCATTCCCTTGAGTACCCTTTGGGTTACTTACTCCCTACAGGTAGCAGTGTTTGGTTATAGAAAAAACAAGCAGAACATCTCTTTATAATTTTCTTAGCTTGTTGCCATGTAATAGAAACTCTTTCTTTAAACCTTTGCTATTGACATGATGTTTCTTGTGAAATTATGAAGCCTTCAGAACACTTCCAATCAATAATTGGTCAATTTCTGCATTACTTTGTGCTAGAGGACCTGGCAGACCCATATGGGATTGGATGTGTGTTATGTATATGGGACAAAGCCTGTTCCTGATTATATCTTGAACCTGAATGAATAGTGAAGTCAATTCTGTATCATCTGGTATAAATTAAGTGGTTTCAATGTGGAAGGCAGCTCTTTCTGCATATCACAAATCAGTAACTGTATTGAGAGGTTCTTTAAAATTCCTTAATACAATGAGAATATCATATAATTCTGCCTTATAATTTAGACAGAATTATAAGGGCTTTGTTCCACCTTAATTAAATCTTCTAATTTGCAACCTGCCTTTCCTGATTTATTTGCATAAGCATAAAATTTACAGGCTCCAGTTATTGGTGTGTCTTGTACAATAATTATAAAATGTGGGGAAGGATCCAAGTAGTTCTTTTTATAAGGTTAATTCTATCACTTTTGGGATAATTGCTATTAATCTCTCCTAAAAAAATAGCATAAGCTCTTTGCCAGGATTCACTATCTTCCCATATTTTTTTTTAATTTTATCAGTAGTAAAAGGAACTATAATCTTTATTGGGTCTGTACCTGCTAGTTGAAGAAGTCTCAATTTTCCTTTTATAATTAATTCAGAGACTTTTCCCACATAAGTTTTTTTTAACTTGGTTTATGTGGTAAAAAGATCCATTCTAAGATAATATCTTTTCTTTACATTAAATTTCCTGTAGGGGAAATTCTGGAAGGCAATATGACTAGAATGAAATTAAGATTTGGATTCACCCTATCCACATGTGCCTCCTGCAATTTCTCTTCAATGACAGTCAATCTTTCTCAATTTCAGCTGTTAATTCCCTGGGACTGTTTAAGTCTTTGACACCATCTGAGGTTTTGCTTAAATGAATTATTAGATCAGGTATTATCCCAACAGCTGGTAGTAGACTGGAAATGTATCCTAACAATCTTTGAAAATCATTAAAAGTACACAATCAATCTCTCCTAATTTGTGCCTTTTGTGGTCTAATTTTCTGTAAACCTATTTTATAACCTAGGTAATTGACAGAATCTCCTCTCTGTATTTTTTCAGGAGCAATTTGTAATCCCCATTTTGGCAAACCTTTCTTTACTTCTTCAAACATTCTTTCTACATTTGAGTCAGATATTAAAATGTCATTCATGAAATGGTAAATTATAGATTTAGAAAATTGTTTACATATTATCTCCAATGGCTGACTAAAAAAGTATTGGCCCAGGGTGAGATTATTGAGCATTCCCTGTAGGGGGATGGTCTACCAGTATCTCCTAGTAGGCTGAGAATTATTATAAGTAGGCACTATGAAGGCAAATTTTTCTCTGTCATTTTTTGTAAAGGTATAGTGAAGAAACAATCTTTTAAATCAATAACCATAAGATGCCATCCTTTTGGTAAAAGAGAAGGCAGAGGAATTCCAGATTGTAGAGAGCCCATAGGTTGAATTAAATTATTGACAGCTCTTAAATCTGTCACCATTCTCTGTTTTCAGTTTCTTTTTAGCAACAAATACAGGAGAATTCCAAGGGCTGGTTGATTCTTCAATATGATACAGGAACTAGTTGTTCCTGCATCAGCTGTTCTAAAGCCTGCAGCTTTTCTTCTGTTAAAGGCCAATGTTTAACCCATATTGGTTTCTCAGTTGACCATTTTAAAGGTAAGGCCATTAGCACCTCTAAAGGTACTAAGTCACTTTGTGTTCTTGTACAGCCTGAACAGCTGGTGACCTTTGTGTATAGTACTTTATAATATCCTTCCCAGAAACATGAGTTTCTGGGACTGCAGGAATGTTAATCTGGGTATTGCATTGCTGCAGCAGGTCATGACCCCATAAATTCACTGCAATATTAACTAGATATGGCCTCAGCCTTTCTCTTTGTCCTTCTGGCCCTATGCATTCAACCCATCTTGTGCTTTGCTTCACTTGAGATAGGGTTCCAATTCCTGGGAATTGAACATCTTCCTCTTGAAGAGGCCAATTCAGATGCCAAGATTCTGGAGTAATGATATTCACGTCCACACCCATGTCTAGTAATCCCTCAGTTACAATATTATTTATACACACTCTTAGCTTTGGTCTTTGAACATTTATAGAAGTCTGCCAAAATATATGCTTCCTATTTCCTGTTGGAATTTTTGATTCATCCTCCATGTTTATTCCATCATCCAGAACAGCATGGCTTTTTACAGCAGGCAATGGATTTTTTTAATTTTCCCGGTGAGACTTGTCCTCCACAGTGACTGGGAATGACTGAACTACATTTGACTCATAGGCCCCTCAAGGAGTTTTCTGATGGTATCAGGTTGCCTTGTCTGTCTTTTGTTGATCTGCATTTATTGAACCAATGTCGACCTTTGCCACACCTCCTACATAATCCAGAAGATTGATACCTTCTATTTTTGCTATTCCCAGAGGAGACATTATTTCTAGGAATTCCTTGTCTACAATCCCTTCTCAGATGTCCTATTTTACCACAATTAAAACATTTGTCATTTTGAAGTCTCGTCATACCTAGTCATATGTTCATTGTATGCAGGATCCGTTCATCCATTGGTGCTGATCTAACCTTTAAAGGCCCAAGTATATTTTTGCATTCTAAATTGGCATTTTCAAAAGCCAGAAATTCAATAAGTACTCATCTAGATTCTGGGTCTGTTACTCCTATTTGTACAGCCTTAGTTAATCTTTCTAAAAAGTCACTAGCGGGTTCTCTCTGGCCCTGTTTAACCCTGGTATATGGTTCTCTTCATTTTCCTAGTTCTTGAATCCTGTTCCAAGCATTTAAGGCTGCTTTGTGACATAGGGACAAGATTTGTTCATCGTAAAGTGCTTTTAACATAATTATTGTAATCCTCTTAGATACTGCTGTCATTTTACTGAACAGATTAAAGATCGTGCTATGGTCAGGTAATGAAGGGTGGCACAGCAGAAGTGACCTCATGATCTGTAGCATCACATGATCTGTAGCATGGTGTTTCACACAGGCTGGTCAGCTAGTGATAATGCAGCATCTGGCATAAAGTGAGCCCAGGAATCAAACATGCTCATCAAAAGGAGATGGTGGTTTATGTTTACTAATGTTAAGATCACATGCACAAAAATATTTTTGAAACACAGAACCGCATGACCAAGATTGATTCCCATCCTTGCTAGTTGTAAGCTATGTAGTGCTAGGACTGCAGTCTGATTTTTCTGAGTCCCAGTGTCTCTTTGTTTTGGAATGGAAATATCATCTCATAGCAACGGGGACATCATGGGAAGGGAAATGAGTTGGTTTCTATGAGAGGGACTTGTAGATGAGACAGGCCCAAGCAGTGTGAATATGGCTGGCTGCTCTGTGTTCAGAAAGTTGGCTTGGGAAGGAGTGGGGATGGGGAAGGAGGTATTCTGCTTGGTAAGTGGATATAGGAGCCGAAAAAAGTGCAGACTGTCTGAATTCCACAGTGAGACAGGGAACAAGGATGCTGGGAAGGGGTTTGAGAGACTGGAGAAGAAAGGAAATAAGTCGAGCATTCATTGAAAAGAGTGAGTAGACAGGATGATGCTTTTGCACCCAGTCCCCTGTAATCAAAGACCAGCCTTGAGCTGTACTTCACTGGCTCCAGGGAGGGTGAAATCGTGCTCTCTCTTTCAAATGAGGCTGTTCCTTGCAGCTCTGTGGCCTTCTGGATCTGAAGGCAAGGACTCACTCATATCCTGTTTCACTTGGAGTCTGAGTGCATTAGTGTCCAGAGCTGCTGCTCAGGGTTGCATGCTGGTAGTGCACATTCAGCCTCCCTATTTAAGGAGACTGAGGCTCCAGCATTCCTATTTTGAAATATGGAGAAATGTGTCCTAAGGAGTCACAAATACATAGTACTGCCCTTCAAAGGCAATTTAGGTAAATGCAAGAACATTTCTCTCTAGCTACCTTCATGCCTTTTGGTCATCACCATCCTAAGTGGAAGCAGGAATCTGTGTACGTTTAAACAATCAGTGGATGTCATTTAAGATACAATTAGTGTTCTTCAATGTGTTAGCAGGTAAAAATGAAAGGGACCAAATGAACACATTTAATAGAAAAAGATTAAACATGAAATTTTGAGTTTCAATTGCAAAATTCAGTCCTGGACATTTGGAAATTGGAGCTGGCAGAAAAGGTAAGAAAGGCCCACATGCCTTCCTCTAAAAGCACAAACTCAAAATAAAGTCAGTCAGCTGCACTTGTGTTTGCTGGCTGCTGCTGTACGCTGATCTCCCATGGGTCCAGCACTCTGGAAGAAGTGTGAGCTCCCTTTCACAGGCTGATGCAGCTTCGTGAGGTCAGGCAGTTTCCAAGGTCAGAAAGTGTGGTCCCAACACAGCCATTTGTGGAGCCTGGTGCAGAAACCAGAAGTCTGAGACCTCTTTTGCTCACCACATGAGACCCTTGCATAAACTAAGGCCTTTCTATCCCACCCAGTCCCACAGCCATTCCTAAATATCCACTCAGAGGCTTAATATTACTTATAAATGTTTGATTAATGGCTCAGGCTTATTACTAGCTAGCTCTTACATTTAAATTAACCTATTTCTATTCATCTGTATTGCCATGTGGCTCACCAGTGGTGCTCTGACATGTTGCCCCTTGGGCAGATGCTAGCATTTCCTGGACTCTGCCCTTCTCCTGTATCTCTGCTTGGATTTCCCACCTGGCTTTATCCTGCCTTGCCATAAGCTAAAGCAACTTTATTTATCAACCAATGAGAGCAACATATATTCATAGCATACAGAAAGACATCCCACATCTCCCTTGGCTTCTCTATAATATTCTCTTCAAAGGAGAATGGCCAAATGAATTGAGATCAAAATAAGGAAAGGAAAAACCCTAAAGGGCCATGATAGGACAACGGCTGCATTTGAGATCCCTTGGGTTCCTCAAATGAGTGGAGCAGGCTCTGGAATCTCTGGCAAGTGGAGAATGAGTTCAGGTGTGGGCTTTTCCTGTGCCTTTGAGTGTCTAAATCAAACTGCTCCATCCTGCTGGAGCAGTGCTTTCATGTCTGCCTTTGTTTTAAGAAACATTTTGAGAGAATGGATTTGGCAGCTGGGGGAGGACAGACGTTTCTTGGATGTGTTTAACACCATCTTATAGGTAAACTGGAAGTGGACTTTAGTCATCAGCTGTGATACAACACAAGTCACACCCTGGACAAAGCTTCCAGGGAAGGGCTTTGCCTAAGATGCTATGTTAATGAAATGGGCATACAGCAAGTAAGGCAACAGAGTGAGAGACGAGACAGGCACTGCAGTAGGCAGGGCCCACCTTTGCCTTCAGAGGAGAAAGGGAATCAATTGAGAGAAAGACTGATCCAAACGAGCAAGACGACTTGAATTACTGCTTAACCCCAGCACTTGATGATTTTGATCAAGGAATTTGGTGGCAGTTTGAAGCATGGTCTACAACAAAGTACGGAACTATGTTAAACCTCAAACTGAACCCAGTTTTTAATTTTTTTTTTTTTACCAAACTGCAAGCTAGTGAATCCTTAGTACTTAAACTAAAAGAAAGAAAATATTCTGTAGGCTAAATCACAACCAAACTGCTAAGATCTTAGGTTCCTGGGTCCCAAGACTGTGCTGTAAAAATCCCTCCTATGTGAAGACAAAGGGACAGGAGCCGTCTGTGGAGAGTTTGAAAGTAGATAGATAATCAAGATAACGAGACACAGTGTGGGGGAAGAGAAAAGAGACTGCTCCCACTAAAACATGTATAGAAACCCCAAGCAGGTAACATTTGGTCTTGTAAGTGCTTATTCCTGAATTCATAGCCACATTTGCATGAGCCTCTGACTTAAGAGGGAAAATGCATGTCATGGATGTACTGACCATATAAGTAGTCACCTTAAAAGGGTTTTTTGCTAGGTGGTGGTGGTACACACACTTGGGAGGCAGAGGCAGGTGGATCTCTGAGTTCAAAGTCAGCCTGATCTATATAGTGAGTTCCAGGATAGCCAGTGATACACAGAGAAATCCTGTCTTGAAAGAAAAAAAAGGGGGGAAGGGGTGTTAAACTATTCATTTCTTTTTGCATCTGCCTAGAAGAAACACCAATAGAGCTGGTATCCAGAAATTAGTGCTATATGGCTGCTTAAAAAACTATAATACAAAGATCTAAGAAGCTCACTTGAATCCTGACAGAATCAGGACCACCTTACACCAAGGTCGGACTCCCGTAGTGCCAGCCTGCTCTTTCTAAATTCTCCTAAGAACTCTCTGCCTTGAGAGTGGACTCCTGGGTATTGAGGTCTCTCTGTTCTCCTTGATTAGTAACTTCCGTCCCGACGATTCCTTCTCCATTGCCCCATCTTGTGATAAGCCTGTGTTAGATGCAGTAGGCGGTAGGCCTTGAAACCAAAAAGTGATATTTAAATGCCATATGGTACTTTTAGGTTTATATAGTTTAAGAAAATGAATTAATATGTTATACAAAGTATTAATTTCCCTTAAATATTCTTTCCAGGGCCACCTGTGGAACATATGGTACCTTTGAACACAAAAGAGAAGTGAAATGGGCCCTTTCTGGTGGGCACAGGCCCGTATGAGGTACATACTTGACCAAGCAGTAGACTTGGTAGTGTGTAGTTATCCACAGCCTACCACTGTGTACACGGCAGCCCTGTCTAAGTCCAGGCTATGTTTGCCAAACAAGTAGTGGGGAGAAGGCTGATATCCTACAGACCTCTGGGTCTTCAGTCCACAGTACATATCACTCTCTGCAACCAGAAGACAAGGATATAAGTTCTTTCTTAGATTCAGTTATTTTATGTGTGTGCATGCTTGCCTGCATGCTTTCGTGTGCACATGTGTGCCTGGTGCCCACACTGGTCAGAGAGGATGGTGGATCACCCAGAACTCGAGTTATGGTTGTGCGTGGCCACGTGGGTGCTGGGAACGAAACCTGGGTCCTCTGCAGACGAAACAAGTGTTCCTAACTGCTGGGTCAACTGTCTAGCTCCCACATCTAAGTTCTGTTATGTCTTCATGGTCCTGAATTTGAAGTAAAAATCGCAGATTTGAGTCAGTCTGTGATTTGAATCCCCAGCTCTGCTACTCACAAGCTAAATGATGTTAGCCAAGCTCCACAGCCTCTCTGTCTCTCAATTCTATCCTTTGTAAAATAAGATTGCTATTGGTACCAGCAAGATGGCACAGCAGTTAAACGTACTTCCTATGCAAATCTCAGGCCTGAGTTTAGGCCCCTGAGCCCCCATTAAAAGCTGGATACAGCGACACACATTTATAATCCTCGTGAGATGAGGGTGGGGACAGGAGAATTGACCAGAAGCAAAGGAGCAGCTGGGCTGTTAGCAGTAGCAGAAAACTCTAAGGGGGGCTCTGTCACAACAAAGTGGGGGGAGGACCAGCTCCTAGAAGTTGCCCTCTGACCTCCACTTACACACCCACATGCACACAAATCACTGCAATGAGGCTTACTGGGATAATGTATGCAATGTGTACAATGGTGCTGGACACGACTATGTTTGGTAGGTGTTGGGCACAGCGAACGGATGTCATATTTACCTGATCGTCTTCCCACCAGCAGACAGGTTTTCAGTGGGGGTTCTGATGCATTTGAGAGGAATATGAATGCCCTTCTACAGTGATACTTAGAAAAGATGCCAAGCGGGGCTCCAGGATAAACATGTAGGAAACATGGTCATTTATTTCCTAAAGTCGTCTACTTATGGCTTGATGGCGCTGCATAATGTCCCAAATGTCGTGTACAAAGCGCACAGTAGGACACAAGAAGCATGGCTGCCTAGGACCTATCCCCCCGAAGCCCCGACACAGCATTAGTGATAATGTGATTCTTTTTGAGGTCCCACTACCGCATCTAATCCTTGTGCTGAATACCACCATGGTAAGCATGTATTGCCATGTGTTTTCCATCTTCCTGTTGGTAGCCTCACGGGAAAGACGGCTCACGCTTGCCTTTAGGGTAAGTCACATACGCGGCACTGGTATGCACAGGCACCCACAGTTCCATAACCCAGAAGTAGGTCACAGGCCCAGCCCTAGCTCCAGATGAGCGCTCCTCAGTAGAGAAGGCAGGAACTGTGGTCAGAAGGAATTTAAAAGTGGTTACAGGGAGCGGGAAGCTGTGTGGGTGCCAGAGGGAGGATGCCACGTGGAAAGTTTAGCCCTTCGCATACATCTGATGTCAACGACACATGCGCGCTGCCAACCTTATACTTTTAGTGTCAAATTCTTAACACTTTTGAACTTCCTGTATGGCTCTGGCTGACCTGTAACTCACAAAGATTCACCTGCTTCTGCCTCCTGAGAGCTGGGGTTAAAGGTGTCCCTGGAAGTTAATTTTGACATTTGTTACCTGTTCATTGTAGGTATCCGAGACAATGGCCCAGTCTCTGGGCTTTAAATGAAATGTCACCATAGAACTTAGAGGATTGATCTCCTTTCCTTCCCTTGAGAGAAAGCAGTGATCGTGTCAGCTTGGGGTGGCAATGACCCCAGAGGCTCACATGTCATAGCCAGCTGACAGGCTTTGGGGAAACAATTGGATTCTGAGGGCTCTGACCACAGTGTCTGGATCCACAGGTAGAGTCATAATCTGATAGCATAGCTAGGAGGAGGTGGGGACAAGGAGATTGACAAGCTGAGAAAGTGGGCTAGCCTGCTCTCTTCCAGCACCTCTCTCGCTCAGTCTGCTCCCTGACTGCCACGCGGTGAGCAGCCTTTCTCTGCCTTGCTCTTCCTCCAGTGATGTCTGCCTCGCCAAGCATGGACAGGAATGAACCTCTGAGCCAAAATAAATCTTCCCCTCTCAGCCATTTTCTTAGGTTTTTGTCACAGAGACTGAAAACTAAACACACGTTTTCATCATTGCAAACTTGTGTGTTATCTTTCTGGGTTATGCATAGCCCTGGCTTGTCATGTGCAGCTCGGCTCTCATAACGTAACCTGCTTGGCAGATCCCCAGAAATGATCATTCATGGGGGGTGGCTTTGTTTGTCCTTTTTCCAAGCCACAGCAGCCTTCTTGACTTTCTTATACTTGGGTGTTCCCCACCCCCAGTAGCACAGGAGGAGATAGCAGAACTGCCCATACTGCCCCAGGGCTGAACCCAGGAAACTGCTAATAGACCAGGCAGAGCCGCTTAGTGCTGGTGCTATGGTAAAGGAAGCCTCAGCGGCAACTGCAGAGCTGAACAGTCTAGGAGCTTTACTCTGTAGTAAGGCATACATTTACCAAGCAACTCTGAACTAGTCATAAATACTAAAAAGGTGGGGCAAGGCTGCCTGCCGAGAGTGTGCAGCAGGTGAGTGGCTTGTGGGAGGAGGGAAGGGGAGTGGATGGAGACCAGGGTGCTTGCTGTCTGGACTGGAAAGGAGTCCAGCCCCCAGAAGCAAAAGAGGTTGAATTGTAAGGGACTTAATAAGCCTTTGTAAAGACACTAGCATCCAGGTACAAGACTCTAGCTCCTCACTGGCCAGGAGGGTCACACTAGAAGTCGGCCTTCCCTGCAGGATCTCTCTCTTCGCATTCTTCTGCAGCTTCCCACGGTTGGCCTCATGCTGCACCCTGATTAGAACCTCCTCATCCCTCTGCATCACTAGGCTGTACCGAGAGGGTCCCTCTGCACTCTTTTCCTTAGGTCAGGGGCTCCACTCAAGTGCCTCTTCCTGATGCCTTCCTTTAGATCAGCAAATCCTGGCTATGTGGACACTTTCCAGGGTGTGGGGCAAACACTGAGGACACGGCAGGCCGCAGCTGGAAATGCCTATGGTACAGCTGCTATGTATACTTGGGCTGCTGGGAGGGCTCCTAGGCCCAGACCATAATCAAGGCCCGTTGTTTAGCAATGCACAGGTTGTCTGGAAAAGTGCTGCTAGGGTAATTCTTTACTGCCCATCCTCCACTGCGCTGCTTGGGGGCCTCTCCAGCATATTCTTCAGTGGCTTTCGGAGCTCGTCTGACCCATGGCTGTCGATGCACTATGGCAGCTCTTCTGCTTAGAGCCTTAAAGGCCTATCTCTGCAACCTTCAGCAGTTGTCTTGTGTGATAAATCTGCAGTTTGAACTCAGCACTCTTTTGTGTATAGAACAAGAACCTTCTTGCAGACTGAGCACCGTTCCCCATCAGAAACCTCATGCCCTGGTATATACGAGTAACTGCTATGGACCCAATTTCCCCATCTCTCCTACAGACATGATAATGATAACCACTTCTATATCTCAAGCCCTGCCTCTGTTCATTCATTTAATCCTATCAGTGGATAGTAATCCTTTCACTTCATCTAGCAGAATCCCAGGATCTGTGGAGGGCATTGGATGAGTTAATATGCAAAGTGCTTTACAGCCTGAAATGCATTGAGTAAAACAATGTTATCAAAGTGGGTTTGGGGACTGGAGAGATAGCTCAGTGGTTAAGAGGTTAAGAGAACTTACTACTCCTGCAAAACTTTTGCCAGGTTTGGTTCCCAGCACACACATCAAATGCCTGTAACTTGAGTTCCAGAAGAGCCAACACCCTCTGCTGGACTCCACAAGTACTGCATGCTTGTCATGAACACAAACTCATGTAGGCATACACACATTTACATAGAAATAAAAATAAGTAAGTCTTTTTTTTAAACTATTTGGAAATTTCATATAATGTACCTCAATTACCCTTCCTTCCCAGTCCTCCCAGGTCTACCTCCCCACATCCTTATGGCCTCCCCGCAAAGAAAAGAATTAAAAAAAAAAAAAAAAAAAAAAAAGAACAAGTCCAATTTGTTTGTCCATATAGTCACTGGAGCATGGTCAAATCTTAGGAAACAGAGTGGATTTGGAGAATTTAGAAGATGAAAATTGTTGTCAGCAATAACTGTCTTTTTGTAGTATTAACTCACAAACAAATATCTATTTTGGTACAAATGACTTAGATTTTTAATGAATATTCACCAAGGGCCTTCTCTGTGTCAGGCCATATTGTAGGTGCATAAAGCACACCAGAGAAGAAGTAAACGCTTGTGCACTCCGGGGCTCAGATCCGAGCAAGCAGATGCATGGTAAATGTCAGTGGCATGCGGTGTCGAAATGCGCCTGCGCTGCGGATCAGGAAGCAGTGGGGGTAGACGGAGACGAGCCTGCAGGAGATAGGCAGTTTGCATTTTCCTTTCTGCTTGTTTTTGTCTTAACAAGGTCTCCTCAATGGTGTGGCTCGGGCAGTATATGGGGCCACTGGCAGTGGGACCAGGATCTAACTGTAATGCATGAACTGATTTTATAGCGCCCATTCTCTATGGAGAGATACCTTGCTCAGCCTAGGCACAGGGGGAGCGGGGGACTTTGGTCCTGCCTCAGTGAGTGGATGGACAGTCTTAGTTGACTTCCCAGGGGAGGCCTTAACCTCTCTGTGGAGAGGATGGGAGGTGGGGTTGGGGGGAGGGGGTAGCAGGAAGAGGAGAGAGGGGGAACTGAGATTGGTATGTAAAAACTCAACTGGGATAAAAAGACAAAGTCTTCTGTGTAGCCCAGGATGGCCTCAAACCTGCATAGCTCTGTTCCTCATTATGTAAGCAGCCTGGCCTCAAACTCCTTCGGCCTCTCTAGTGTTGAGATTATAGGCGTGAGCTACCACACGAGGCTTCATAGATTGGATTTTTCATCAAACTGAGCCCTCTTTGTCTCAGATATTTTTATCTTTCCTTACCCAGCAAAACCTGAATGGCTTCCATGTGTCATGAGCAGCAACAGTAGAAAGGCTTGTCCCTCCCAGAGCTTACTTCCTGGGAAGAAGCGTGAAGACTAAACAGTAGTTTCCCCTTATCTAAATGTTGACTTTCCACTGTTTCAGTTTTCCAAGGTCGGGTACAGTCTGATCGTATTTAATGGAAAATTCCAGAAGTAACTTAGAAGTATTAAGAACTTTCATAGCTGGGGTGGTGGTGGCGCACGCCTTTAATCCCAGCACTCGGTGGATCTCTGTGAGTTTGAGGCCAGCCTGGTCTGCAGAGCGAGTTCCAAGACAGTCTCCAAAGCTACAGAGAAATCCTGACTCTAAAAATAAAAAACAACAAAAACTTTTATTATAGTTTATTTGTTATTTTAACTATTGTTAATGTCTATTTGTAGACATTAGGCAATTTACAAATGCCTAATTTGTAAATTAAACTTTATCATAATATGTATGCATAGGGAAAAGTGTGTTTGTATATGGCAGGGGGACACTATCTGTGCCCTGCTCTGCAGATAGCTAGGGACCAGTGTGTGTGTGATAACTGCAGGTCAAACTGAGCCGTATAAAGGCAGTAAGATGATAGGAGGGTGTTGCTTTGTTGCTGGGACAAAATATGTAAAAGAAGCAACCTGAAGGAGGAAGGCCATACAAGGAAGGCATTGAGATTTAAGCTAGCTCAGGACGGCCGGGAGCACAGGGCAGCTTGCTTTTACAGTGCATTGATTCAAGAAACAACATGGGGGCTTTAAACCAGTGAACCACTTCCTAAAAGTGCTCCAGCCTCCCAGACAGCACTGCCAGCTGGGGAACAAATGTCAGACATGATGGACCCGTGGGTGGCAGAGGGAATATAGAAATGGGAGCATACGGAAGAGATGCCCATGACTTTGGAGCTAAGCCTGAAGCATGAGAGGAAGCCATCCCTAGGCAGTACCTGAACAAGGGTACTTTAAAGGTTCCAGGGCTCAAGGAAACTTGGCAGATAGGATAAGCAAGGGGAGCTATGTGCGGGCAGGAATGAACAAGTGAATTGGGGAGAATGGGGCACCCATGGGTAACACAGTGCCCGCAGGCTGCAGAGAAACCTGGATTTTGTCCCCAAGATGGGGAAAGGCCTCTGAATGCTTTTGGCATGGATTGGCCAGAGCTCTTTGTATTTGTGCTCTATACAAAGGTTAAGTGATTGAGCAGTTCTCTCCAGAGGAAGCTAGGCAGGTCACAGCCAGTTTAGTTCTCTGACATTCACTGAACCCCTACTGTGTGCTGAGGACTTCACTTAGTATAGGTTGTGTGGAACCCCTACTGTGTGCTAAGTGTTGCACTTGCTGGTGGGTGTGTGTGAGCACGCCATGAACTGTGATTTCACTGACTTGTGTTGAGTCCCCAGAACCAAGTGCAAAAGACCTGGGGAAGGTCGGGAACAACTTGGCTAGCACCAAAGCAGCAGCTGGTGTGCTCTGTCCACTCTAGGGTAACCTGTCCTTGCCATTAGTTAAATGTACGTTCTTGTTCAGAAACCAGAATGTGCAAAAGTTCTTCCTTCTACCCACCCCCCAGGGGTATCAGTCAAGCGAGAAAAGAAGGGCCATCCTCCATTCATTCCACCAGCCCTTCTATGTTCACAGGAAAATAGTGTTTGCCCTTTAAAAGCCAGCCGCCTTAATAGACAGCCCATTCTTGCAGTGCGACATTTCAGAGAACAGGAACCAGTCCTAAGGAACAAGATTCAGATTGGAAAATGCCTTCACCACTTGGGACTATTGCGTGCTGGTGGAATTTGCTGAAACAAGGACATAGAACTCTGAGGGCTTAGGAGACAGCCTCTGAGCCTGTTTGCCAGGTTTCTCAAGCCAGCAGGTGTCTGGGCAAGCTTGATCCTGAGATGAACCCATGGTAGGCAGGCCATCCTAAACACTGCTCCATTTCAACAAGAGAAAAAGAACCCACGAACCTGTTCCCTTTTCATCTTTGCAAACAGGCAACCTAAAACGTTTACCTGGACCCATTGCATCATTCACGAATCTGACAATCCCCATTCTCACAGTCTGTGCGTGCAACTACAGGTCTGGAGGCCGTTGTTTACCTGTTCACCATAATGAGTGAGGTCGCCCCGGTCAGCCTCCCCTTTGTGGAGTGCGATCAGTAGCTCAGAGAGTCACTCCGAGTTTCAGGTGAGAAAATGAACTTCCCTCGTCACGCCGTGTTACCTTGAATCTGATACCTTTCAGTGCGCTGCAGCCTAGCATACACAGCTTGTCCACGCCCCTGCTGGAACCCATTTTGAAGACAAAAGTCAAAAGGACGTTCCTCTTCCTAGACACAGTTCTGTTCTGTAAAGGGCTTCTGTTTTGTAATCTGTTTTCGAGATCTGGTGCTTGTGTTTCTAACACCCCGTCACGTGTGGTCTGACGTAGACCTCACCATGACTATGAGCAAAGGCACTGTGAGGATGTGTGTGGGATGGCGGAGCCAGCTCCCCGCAGCAAACCGCCCTTTGTCAGAAAATTTCCATAGGGCCTTGCAAGCCCACACGGTGGATTGTGCTTCCATAGGCCGGCCTGCACTAGCTGGATATGGAATGTGGGTTTGACTTTTGCAGGATTCCAGGTCAGTATCCTCATAGAGAGCATTCTTTTTTTAGTTAGGGTTGATTTCTACGTTTCTTTTTATAGAACACGGCTTGCAGTAGAGAGGGGAGAAAGTTGTTTGTCGGTTCAATGCTATTATTTTATTTATGTTAGGAACTGAGTTGTCTGAGTGCTGGCAGGAAGGCTTGGCCTTCTTTGATCGGAAGATTTAGAAAACCGGAGTCCAGACTGCCTCTGGAGAGCAGCCTTCCCCTGGCCAGGGCTGCTTCGTTTTCCTCTGTCATGTCTTAGAGATTTGCCGATAAAACACAACAGACTTTGGGAGTTGGGGAGATGACTGACAGGATGTTTATTTTGCAAGCTTGTGGACCTGAGTTTAGATCCCTAATACTTAATATGGCATGAGCTTGTAACTATGGTGCTGGGGGGAATAGACAGAAGGATATCTAGAATTCACTGTCTGGTCCGATTGGTAACCTTCATACTCAGCGAGAGACCTGTCTCTAGAAAAGCGGAGTGGAAAGCAATGGAGGAGATACCTGACCGTCTCTGGTCTCTTCATACGCACAGATAGGCACATGTACACTCACACACACATGCACACTAAAACACCAGATTTTGATGGCAAGCCCTATAAAGAGGTACATGGTAAATTCATAGAGTTTACATGGGAATTATAATTCTAGGTGTTTTGGTATTTTGATAGAATTGTCTTAACTGGCTAAAGAGAAAGAAGCTTTAATTAAACAGAGATACTGGGAAGTAATGATTACATCATTGCCAAGGATTGTTTTTTTGTTTTCAAATTCAGTCAGGGAACAAAGGCCTAAAAACAGCATTGTGGATAGGATGCTGTAGGACCTGATTTTTAAATAAAACGAGTGGACAAAATCACTTGAACAGGAAGTTTGTCGTGACCAAAATAGGTCTTGAGACTTAGAAAACAAGAAGCAAGCAGTAGTAAATTGTACTAACAGGGTAAGATGACAACCGAGCCAATCAAAGAACAGTTTTCACTGAGACTGGTCAGGAGCAGCCCTGTGGTCCAACCAGGCGTGGTCCACCTGGCCCGTGGTCCACCTAGCTGCTTAGCCATACTCAAATCCAAAGAGAACACTCATCTCAAGGTGGGGAACAGTGTGCTTCTGTGCGGCTGTGGGCATGGCTCCATCCCTCATCCCTCAGTCTCCTCACCTGTCTCCTAGGGAATTCTACTTTGTGTCTTATTTTCAGTCACTTTGTGTGTAATTCTTTTAGGCATACATGTAGTTTTTTTTTTCATTGAGTAAAATAAAATAAATTTCCTAGAGGCAGAAATTATTTCAAAGTAATATGAATGTTACCTTATGGAGTAGCACAATAATTTCAAAGTTTTTGTCTTAGGATATACTTATTCTTTTTTATTTATACATGAGTGTTTTGCCTGCATGTATGTCTATGCACCACTTGCATGTCTGGTGCTCACAGAGGCCAGAAGAGGGTGTTAGATCCCCTCAATCTGGGATTATAGATGATTGTGAGCTGCTATGAAGCGTGTCCTGTGGAAGAACAAGTGCTCTTAACCACTGAGCCATCTCTTCAATCCCTGGACTTACCATTGAAGATTCAAAGAGGTTTTGTTCAGCTGAGGTCTGTCACTATTTGCTATATTCAAAAATTCAATTGAGTATTTAAATGCTCATGCAAAATGACTTTGTTCAACCTAATTAAACAATCAAGTAACATTTAAAATGACAATAGTATAAAATAAATCAGTAAGAAGTATTATATTTTGTCAAATATCTTCAATTTTGGCTTAGTAAAAAGATAACTTGATTTTCACATCTGTTCCTACATTCAGTTGTAATACAACATATTATATTAGTTGAGGTATATAAAGAAATTCAACCTTGCACAAATGGTTGGAAAAGAGGATTTTTTTAAAGTAGCTTTTCTAGTTAATTGTGGATAGTCTTTGATATTACATCAAAATTTGACAAGATGATCTCTTAAAAGTTAGTTGAAACAAGAACTTTGAACCTTGCTTACTTTATTACTTATAAATCTACTAGTCTCTGTTGTACATGTTAACACATGCATTGGTCACTAGAAAATACTGGTCCCCTCAGTCAGGCCAACCTCCAGATTTGCTAAACAAAATCCAAAAAACATATTTATTCACATCACTATCAGCCTCATCAGAAAAATCATTCTGTATTTGGAAATGTCACTTCCAAAATTTAAATTTCATATAAAAATAAAATTTTATTATTGGTAGCAAAATACCTATGCCCATGAAATGACAGGGAATCTTGGTCTGTTTTCAAAACTCTAAACAGCAGCAGTCTGTCTACCAGCGATTCTCTCAAAACGATAATCCACGACAGAAGGTTAAGCTGGTTAAGCCCACAACTCAACTACCCAGCTGCTTTCCTTGGTAGCAGTTCTGTTTCAGTGTGCACTCCTAAGAGTTTTACATGTGCCACTTTAGCACACAGAATCCTTAGACACACACACGTCTCGAGGTTAAAAGTTAATAAAATGATTAAATTTTATTCCTTCCATTGATTATCTGAGGTGCCAGAACCTACCTGTCATGGCTACTGGAGCATTCTATACTTTTCAGCATAAAAAAAAAACACATAAATAATACCTCTGTCTCATTACTAAAGTAGTTTTGACCACACAAATCTAGAAAATGCCTTAGGAAATCCAGAGGCCTTTGAAACATGTTTTAAAAACTGTCAGGCTAAAGGAAACAGGAATATAATTGGCAAGAACTCATTTTTATTTTCCTCTTACTTGGCTCTGGTTTAAGCAGACCTGGGCTCACTTAGGTCTGATTTTTAAGGCTCTAACTAAGGAAGTTCTGTTTGCACTAATATGTAAGTTAGGACATTTGCTTAAATTGCTCTTTGCTCATCACCAGCATAGTCAGCATGCATTGTGCTACAGGTATACAGAGTACAAAGATGGGCAAGGCTGTCCCTGCACTTTGGGGACTCATCAAGAAAGATGCACGTGAACAAATGTATTCCCAGAAGCTCCAGTATGGGCATGAACACACAACCAGAAATCATAGAAGGAGGAGGCTGCCCCCGTGAGGTATTGCTTGAGACGGATATTCTAAAGACTGCCGAGTAGGAGAGCTCCAGGAGGGAGAAACACGATGCACACAGAGAGCAGGTCTTCCAATGCTATGAGAAAAGTGGTCTGTGAAAAGGGAGATATGCTTTCTGGACCTCTGGGTGGGGGTGGGAAGCTGGGATGGAGGAGGGACTGCTGCTCCCGACTGTTTGAATCTTTACCATGAGCCGAGATTTATTTTCTTTTTCATGAGGTAGGTAATTCTGGAGCTGTGGCTGTAGCTCAGTCAGTAGAGTGTGCTCCACAAGCATGAAGACAATTGGCACCCATTACCCATATAAGAAAGTCAGGCATGCTTGCAATCCCAGTGATGCAGAGTCAGATAATCTCACTAAAACAGTGAGCTCTAAGTCCCAAAGTGAGAGACCTTGTCTCAGAAATCAAGGTGGATGGTTCCTTAGGATCAACACCTGAGACTGGCCTCTGACCTCCACATGGGCATGCACACATGTACCATGTATACCCACCCCCAATATAAGCATCTGCACACACACATCAACACATACACAAGGTAGTTGATTTTGAAAGCAAATATAGCAGAATAACTTTATTACTCATATTTACTTATTTGTTATAGCTACTTTTTTTGAGACAGGTTTCTCTATGTAACAGCCCTGTCTGTTCTGGAACTAGCTCTGTAGACCATGCTTGCCTCAAATGCAGAGATCCGCCTGTCCCTGTCTCCTGAGTACTGGGATTAAAGGCGTGCACCACCACTGGCCAGCTGTATTTGTTTTTAAATGGTGTCTTGCACGTAGCCCAGGTTGGCCTTGAATTTATTGTCCTCCTTCCTCAACCTCCCAAGTGCTGGGATTATAAGGGTGCACCAAGATACCTGGCCTTACAAAGTCATGTTAGTTATTTGAAATCTCTGACTTAGGTGTCCATGTTTGTACTGTACGTATATGTGTTTATTCTGTAGAATCGGAGTGTGGCAGGGGACAAAACCAGCTCAAAAGTCTAAATAGGCTGATTAACTAGAATTTCCCGCGGCAACTGTGTACTCACACAAGATATGTTTTATGTTAAAAAGCACATGACTTTTATGTTAGATTTTGTGCAGCTATATATTCTGCTTACATACTTATGTATGTAAATATAGGATGACCATTCATCTTCTTGGGATCTAGTCCCAGTATGTGCCGTTTCTCTAGCATAGTTATTAATTACACCTGCTTTCTCTCTCTAATCTCTTAATAGGGTGCTGAATTAGTCACCCTATTCCTATACCTGTACTTATAAATAGAAGTGTATTATATGTTCAGATATTCATCATTTAGTCATACATACATGTGTCTATATGTGTGTGTATTTATTTATTTAAAAGTGCTTTTAAACACTATTCTGGTTAAAATACAAACTTAGGGGTTGATAAGATGACTCAGCCGATCAAGGCACTTGTCAGGCAAGCCTGATGACCTGAGTTCAATCCCTGGAGCCCACATGAGACTAAAGAGAAGACATGACTGCACAAAGGTGTCCTCTGACCTTGGTGTGTGTGCTGATACACATGGATGCCTCCTCCCACGCATAAACAACAAATACACGTTCATAAATACAGTTTAAACAATACAGACTCAGCAAACTAGTAACATAGCTCAGGTTTTGGCAGTTATCAAATTACAGGTTGTTTTACTATTGACTCACCTAAATTTTTATATCTAGAATGGTTTTGTTAGCCTTTTAAATCTTTTTGTTTTGTATGTATGAATGCTTTGCCTGCATGTACGCCTGTACACCACATATGTGTCTAGTGCCCACCGAGGCCAGAAGAGGATGTCAGATTCCCCAGAACTGGAATTCCAGACAATTGTGAGCAGCCAATGTGGGTGCTAGGGATTGAACATGGGTTCTCTGGAAAAGCAGCCAGTGCTCAGAACTGCTGAGCCAGCCCCCCGTTTTAGCCTTTTCATGGTTCTATATTTTTTTCTCAGTAGCACTGCTAAGAATAGTGAACTTGTTGCATGAAACTTTTTTAGAAAACATTTTAGAAATTACATGTAAATTAAACTTCATCTTCTCTGTGATTTACACATTTTGTTCCGAAATCTATTGTGGGCCTTCTGTCTGCTGAGGAGGCTCCTGGCCTTCCATCTGCAGAGGCTCCTCTGACTTCTCTTTTAAGTTACTCACTGTGGAGAAACGTGGTGGGCGTGCTGTAGAGTGCTTGCATCTCTAATGTCAGAGAATACCGATGTTGGTGAGAAGGGCCTCCTCCCCTTCAGTGCTAAGTTTGTCCCCTGTCCCGTCCCTGTGTCATCGTGTCCCGTCCCCCCCACCGTCATCTACTTCCCTACTTCCTGTTTCTTTAGCTGATGCTGCTGTGACAAAGCCACCTAAGGGCTGGTGAGATGACTCATCAGACAAAGGCGTTTGCCCTGCAAGCCTAGTGGATGTCTTTGCAACCCATGTAATGGTGGGAGAGAAGAGAGTCCCCAAAGCTGCCCTCTGACCTCCACATGCATATCCCGGCACCTGGATCACCCTCTACATCACACACAGAGTAATGGTTTGTTTTGAATTTTAAAAAGGCAACTTAAGGGGAAAAGGATTCATTCCAGCTCATAGCTCTAGGAGTCACTCCATCATCGAGGAGATGGAAAGGCGTGGGAGCTTGAAGCAACTGTCTCATTGCATCCCCGATCAGGAAGAGGAGAATAATGAATGCATGCTGCTCCTTAGACGCATTTCCCCACCACACCGTCTGAACTCCCAACCAAACAATGGTGCCACCCACACTGGGCAGGTCTCCCACTCTCGGGGCCATTAAGATAACCTCCCACAGGCATGTCGACCTCCCAGGTGATTATAGATTGTCAAGTTGAAGATAGTAATTATCACACTTCTTGTTCTTAAATACCAGTGCTCTAACCCCAGCTACTAAGAAATGCTGCTTGGCCGTGAATGGTCAGGTGGCAGGATGTGCATGCAGGGGGCATGACTACAGGGCACCAGTCCTCGCCAAGCCACTGACTACTCCAATCCTTCCTGCTTTTCAAGAAGAGACGTCATTTCTCGTGTGTGTGTGTGTGTGTGTGTGTGTGTGTGTGTGTACAGAGACATTAAACAGGATAAGAAGATGCACCTATGGGGAAAGTAGATCCTATAGGATATGTTTCTGCTCTCCATTTTACTGGTGGAAACAATTCCCCACAATTCCAGAAAAGACTCATGAAAAATTAAGTTCGAGACAAGGCAAAGCAAAGTAGAACTAGCGTTAAATAAAGAAACTGAAACAATGGTCGCAGCAGAGGCCCCGGCTAGGAGTGGCTGCAGCAGATGACCGAAAGCCCAAGCTTCCTCATTGGAGGACTGAAGCTGATGAGCACGCATGCAGTTTCTTTGTCAAAACTGCTGGACTCATAGGAAGGTGCCCGTTCGCTGTGACCAAAGGCAATGGAGAATTTGTCAGATGTTCCTTGTGTAAAGGATGCTAAATAGACCATGGGGCCCAGCTTATAACAAACCCTTTACAAAAAGATGAGAGGAGTTTTTGTATGGACATCTGGTCTATCTAACTGAATAGCTGTCATGAGCTAAACACTATAGACTAGCAAGACATTGCAGCTGGCAGAGAAATATTGCCGAGTTGTATGACTTTCTGAGCCTGCACGTACTGATGGCATGGGAGGTGAGCTAGAGGATGTGCTAATTCTTGTAGCCCACAGCAGAATGACGGTGCACATTTAGATGCAAGGGTGACGGACTGGCAGAGAGCGAGAACAGCGAGTTACTGTCTACGTGTTTTTTTAAAATTGGAAGGTACTAGAACAGAACAGATGGTACCACATGAAGTCAGGGCGTTCATCTCATTTGTGTCTTAAGTCACTGAGAACCGTGTATCTGTTGCTCTGGATGCCTGTGGAAGCGGCTGCTTTGATCACTAGGGTGTCAGTAGGCTCTGGTCATCCCGGGTTCACAGTAAAACATACAGATCATTCAGCCACCACCCAGCGGTGGTGTAAGAATGTGTGGTCTCTTAATTGTTAGCTTGATTGGGTTGAGAAGTGTACAGGTTTGTAAAACATGACCCAGGGTGTGTCAGAAAGGATGAGAGGAGAGGGCAGCACCAGGCTGGGGGCTTGAATAGAGTAAAAACGAGGCAAGGGAGTCATCTAGCCTGGGCTCCTTTGTCTTTTCTTTTCCCTCTCTCCCCTCCCCCTCCCCTACCACATGTGAGCTGCCCTGCTCTACCACACTCTTCCAAAGTCAACTAAAACCTTTGAACCGTTGTTTCTTGGCCATTTTCCACAACCCCAAGTCTAACGGAAGGGAATGAGTTGTGCACACTGCATGCGAGCCTTTCTCACTCCATCCAAGAGTCGCTGTGCCTTTCTGATGTCCTAGCTCGGGAGGCTGTGATGAGACTGAGAAACACACTGTCCCTGGTGTGCTGTCTCGTCATCTTTGTTTGCCTTCATTTTAAAAACTCTAGTCTGGCTATAATAAAGGGGAAATCACGTGTGGCGTGGAGGCAGGTGTCCCTGGTTGTCAGACTCAGTCACACAGGCTGCCGTTCAGAAAAGAACTCCTCAGCGGACTGAATTAGCATAGTTCCTTCCATTCTCGCTACTTCTCTAAGCAGATACCTCACATAGAGGTACCACTCACCTATGGGAAACTTTTAAAAATAAATTAACAAATTACTTCTGTTTTATGAATTATGTTTGGATCAGATTATTAAGGTTATCACTGAACACATATAAAAGAGGCAGGGAGTATGGCTCAATGGTAAAGTTTTGACCCGCATGTAGAGGCCAGGGAGTCAGTCCTCAGCAACACACACACACACACACATCAAATATAGTCAGGTGTGTTGATGCATGCCCTTATTCCCACTGCTCAGGAAGAGAGGCAGGCCTGTCTCTGTGAATTCAGTGCCAGCCTAGCCTACAGAGCTAGTTCCAGGCCAGCAGGGCTTGGGATGTGACCCACCTAGCATGTGTGATAGGCTGACTTTAATCCCCAGGTCCTCTGTAGGGGAGGGGATGTCAAAGAAGGTAGAGGCAGGTAAATCTGAGTTCAGGGCCAGCTTTGTCTGGATACCAAGTTGCAAGCTAGTCAGGGCTAAATAGTAAGACCTTGTCTTAAGGTGAAAGTCAGGTGAATAGAGGGTGTCTCTAAAAGACCGTGATGCCACTCAGCCTCAGAGAGTCTCAGAGCAGCAGCCTTGAGCATGGAGACCCTTCCTGCTTGGACATACGGAAATTCGCCCTCCCCATATTTGGACACACACACATAGCTGAGACGTCGCAGACGGCAGGGGAAAGAGTCCTGGGAGATTTCCAGCTACAGCTACTAGCAATGGCATGAGAAACAGTCTGGGGCGAGAAGGTTGGGCTTCTAATGTTGACTTCCAAGTCTTAGGAAGAACAACAAGATGAGATGAAAGTCTGAGTTTTCATGTGCAAAAATAATTTCCCCCAGAAGTAGTTAACAGCTAGAAATGAACAAGTCACTGCTGGAAGCCCCCTGACCATTTGTCTCTCATTTCAGATGACAGTCATGTCCCTCTCCAGGGACCTCAAGGACGACTTCCACAGTGACACGGTGCTCTCCATCTTAAATGAGCAGCGCATTCGGGGCATTTTGTGCGATGTCACCATCATTGTGGAAGACACCAAGTTTAAAGCCCACAGCAATGTCTTGGCTGCCTCAAGTCTTTATTTCAAAAATATATTTTGGAGCCATACGATCTGTATTTCCAGTCACGTCCTGGAGCTGGATGATCTGAAAGCCGAAGTGTTTACAGAAATACTTAATTATATCTACAGCTCCACCGTTGTGGTCAAGAGGCAGGAAACAGTCACCGATCTTGCAGCTGCGGGAAAAAAGCTGGGAATATCATTCTTGGAAGACCTTAGTGACCGCAACTTCTCAAATTCCCCAGGTCCCTACGTAGTCTGCATTACTGAAAAGGGTGTGGTTAAAGAAGAAAAAAATGAAAAAAGGCACGAAGAACCAGCCATTACTAATGGGCCAAGGATCACAAATGCATTTTCCATCATTGAAACGGAAAATAGTAATAACATGTTTTCTCCACTGGACTTGAGGGCAAGCTTCAAAAAAGTGTCTGATTCCATGAGAACAGCCAGCCTCTGCCAGGAGAGGACCAATGTCTGCCACGAGGCAGAGCCTGTCCGCACGCTTGCTGAACACTCATACGCCGTTTCTTCCATCACTGAGGCTTACAGGAGTCAGCCTGTACGGGAACACGACAGCAGTGTATCTGGTAAAACAGGAAAAGAAAATGGCGAGGCTCTTGCCACAAAAGCAAAGTCATGCCGAAAGCCAAAGACCCAAACCCAGGATTCTGACCCAACCACAGAAAACATATCACTGCTTCCAGTGACCAACCCAGAGCTTAATCAAGAAAGAAGCCCACAGCCAACTCCAATTCTGTCACGCTCAAAATCTCCCAGCAATGAGGGAGACGTCCATTTTCCCAGAGAAGAGGACAGCCGACCCTCCGATATTCCTGGTCCAGCAGTGGCAGAGGTCCCGCCCCTTGTTTATAATTGCAGCTGTTGCTCCAAATCCTTTGACAGCAGCACACTGCTCAGCGCCCACATGCAGCTCCACAGGCCGACCCAGGAGCCTTTGGTGTGCAAGTACTGCAACAAGCAGTTCACCACCCTCAACAGACTGGACCGGCACGAGCAGATCTGCATGAGGTCTAGCCACGTGCCCATCCCAGGGGGAAGCCAACCGTTTTTAGAAAACTACCCCACCATTGGACAAAATGGAAGTTCATTCACAAGTCCAGAATCTTTAGTACCAGAAAATAGGATTGGTGAGCTTGCCAGCGCTGGGGGTGCCTTGCCAGATGAGGAGCACATGGTGAAACTTGTGAACGGGCAGATGCTCTACAGTTGCATCGTGTGCAAGCGTAGTTATGTGACTTTGTCCAGCCTCCGAAGGCATGCAAACGTTCACTCGTGGAGAAGAACATATCCTTGTCACTACTGCAACAAGGTCTTTGCCCTGGCCGAGTACAGGACACGACATGAGATCTGGCATACTGGAGAGAGACGGTACCAATGCATATTTTGTCTCGAAACGTTTATGACCTACTACATACTAAAAAACCATCAGAAGTCTTTTCATGCCATAGATCACAGACTCTCCATCAATAAAAAAACTGCCAATGGAGGCTTGAAGCCTGCTGTCTATCCATATAAACTTTACAGACTCCTGCCTATGAGATGCAAGAGGGCACCGTATAAGAGCTTCCGGAAATCTTCCTACGAACATTCTCGAGAAAACAGTCAAAGGAGTGAGTCTGCACCGGATACATTTGTCGTTCCAAATTCACAAAGCTCTGAAATGCCCACACTGAACTTCCAAGATGGCGGGAACACCTTGACCGGCAGCCCTGCCATCCCAGGGGGAACGCCTTCACATCAGGGTGCACCCACTTCTGCCAAAGTAAATCAAATGGAAGGCATCAAATGGAAGAAGGAGGCCCTGAAAACTGATCCCGTCGATAGCTTGGATTCAACCGAGGGGTCAGTTTCTTCCGCTGAAAACACTGTCAGTGTCAAGCTCCAGGCAGAGTCCACACATGGTTCACCGGTGGGTCAAGGCAGTGACCACGCGGCCTCTGTGATCAGCTATGGTGGCTCGGTGCCCTCTGTCATCGTGCACAGCAGCCAGTTCTCATCCGTGATCAAACACAGCAATACAGTTGCTGCCCTGACCAGCAATGACAAAGTCCCTTCACAACCAGTTGTCAGTCCGCCCCTGAAAGAGGATAGCAAACTGGGGGCAGATAAAGCCAGTAAACTTGCAAGCAGACCCAAGAGCATCAAGGAGAAAAAGAGAGCTCTTGCGTGTAACAAGGGAGAAGTAACAGAGGAGGCCAAGTACGTTAGTGATCATGGAGGGTCTTTGGGCAAAACCACAAATGTCGTGGAAGAAACCAGTAAAATTGAGACTTACATTGCAAAGCCTGCTCTGCCTGGCACCTCCACAAACAGCAACGTTGCACCCCTTTGCCAAATAACAGTGAAAATTGGGAATGAAGCCATCGTGAAAAGGCGTATCCTTGGGTCGAAGCTGTTCTGCAAAAGAGGGAGAAAGCCCAAATATCAAATGCAGGAGGAGACGTTGCCTCAGGAGAGTGACCCAGAAACCCGTGGAGACAGCCCCCTTGGGCTTTGCCAGGCTGACTGCGTAGAGATGAGTGAAGCCTTTGATGACGTAAGTGACCAGGATTCCACTGACAAGCCGTGGCGCCCATACTACAACTACAAGCCCAAGAAGAAATCCAAACAGTTGAGGAAAATGAGAAAGGTCAAGTGGAGGAAGGAGCGTGGGAGCAGAAGCCCCAGCGGTAGGCGCAGGTACCCAGCTGAACTGGATCGTGCAGAGGTGAAGCCACCAGATAAGGCTTTTGAAGAAGAAGAAAATAAAGAGATGCCCAAGCTCCAGTGTGAGCTCTGTGATGCTGACAAAGCAGCAGGGGTGGACGCCGAAGGCAAGCCCCACCAACACCTCGGGCTGAAGCCTTACATCTGCGAGCTTTGTGCAAAGCAGTTCCAGAGCCCCTCCACGCTCAAAATGCACATGCGCTGCCATACCGGAGAGAAGCCGTACCAATGCAAGACCTGTGGGCGGTGCTTCTCAGTGCAAGGGAACTTGCAGAAACACGAGCGCATCCACCTGGGGGTGAAGGAATTCGTCTGTCAGTATTGTAACAAGGCGTTCACGTTGAACGAGACTCTCAAAATCCACGAGAGAATCCACACCGGGGAAAAGCGTTACCACTGTCAGTTCTGCTTCCAGGGATTTTTATATCTTTCCACAAAGCGCAATCACGAGCGGCGGCATGTTCGCGAGCACGATGGGAAAGGCTTTGCTTGCTTCCAGTGCCCCAAAATATGCAAGACAGCTGCCGCCCTCAGAATGCACCAAAAGAAACATTTATTCAAGACCTTAACTAAGCAGGAGAATACTGGTGACATGTGCCATGAAAACTCGGATCTCTTGGAGAGTCAGCTTTGCACTGATTTGGAAGACAGCGACCAAAAGGATGACATGCAAACCTTTACTGAAAACGTTAGTGACAACAGTTAGAAAAGTCTCCAAAAAATTGTGAGATTTTTTTTTCAGTTTTTTGTTGTTGTTGTTGTTGTTTAGTTTTGTTCACTTACTAGTCACAAAGGCGTGGGGAAGCTAATTCTTATTTGTGTAAACTCTTCAAAAAAAAAAAAAAGGATCCTAGCACCTCCTTTGGGTTTTATCATTCATTTCTCACGGAGTGCATAAAACAAGATAGCTGCATTCTCTAAGGACCCACGTATTTTTGTGAAGGCTAATAAAGTTCTTAGCTGTGGTATTTTGAACGGTGAAAGAAAGCCGCTGAATTTTAGCCTAATTTCAAACATTCTCGTGAGTGCTAATGAGGCCTGCTGGACTGTCGTTAGTCACTGGAGAAAATGAGGGTCAGGATCATGAAAATCACGTCTCTGAGATGTGTTCAATGCTAAGTGAGGTGTGACAGTATTTATCCCCCTCCAGTTTCTGCACTATTAATCTTTGTTTAAATTAATGGGTATTTACAGAGTACTTCACAATATAACTGAAAATCTGTAATGGGTAGCCTACAGTAGGACACTTATACATCATCTAGAACTACTTTCCTGCAACATAAACCCTGTAAAATACATATATGAGTCACTATAACCTTTAACTCTCTGTGTCCCTTGTAGAGAATTATAACGAGCAATAGACCTGCAAATACCGAGGACTGGTGTCGAAATCATAGAGCATTTTGAATCTGACTTATGAGCATGTGTGTGCTTCTCGATGGAATGCTGTGCTGTTATTAGAACCACTCAAGTCACACGAAACATAAGTCATGCCTTACCTATGGGGAAGCCTTCCCAGAACCTACCTGAGATTACCTATGCCGTATAACCCTTTGCAGTGGCCTCACCTCAGAGAATGAAGAATGGTCAAATTCTTCTGAACTCTCTGCAGTCTTCCAGCCATCCCAAGGCCATGGATGTTGGGGGCTATTCCACACAGACTTAAGGGGTCAAATAATCCTGATGTCTCCCATTCTACTGAAGGAGTATGCAAAAGGTTGAGAACAAGACATACCTCCATGGTAATGAAGTTTCAGGCATCTGGAAACAGCAGAAAGCCCGATTCCTGAACTGTACACCTTGGAGATAATGCGGCCCACAGGTCCATACTAACTAAAAGGACAGAAGCCCCCACTCCCACTGATGACATGAGGACAAGGGGAAGTGATGACCTTCCTTGCCTCAAACAGCAGCATTGTTTTTGCGGGATGGGGAGATAGGATGTGGAGGGACAGGGTTCTGCCCCTTACTATCATGACTCAGAAGCATCCACACAGCTAGAAGCTCTGTCTTCATGTTTGCAGACATCTAGCTCCCTCGTTAAAGCCTCATCTTTCTAAACAGTTTTTTATATTGATGCAAACTGTCAGCATTGCCCTCAGAAGTCTGTTTGCCCTCCAGGATGGTCTTTCACGTGAACTAGGATCCTGGAAAGCTGGAGCTCACTGTTCTTCCTGCTAAAACTGCCAGGATAGGAGGGAAGGAGGACTCATTCCTAACCTCCCTTCAGTCACCAGTATCAGCAAAATTCAGAAGAGTTCAAGAGTGGCCAGCAGCCATTCCTGTTCACTGGATTTGGTGGATGGAAACCCGAGGCTGAGAGGTTGTCCTTACGGAGGACTCCAGCTGTGTGCAACACGTGTTGTGTCTCCATGAAGAAGACTTAGTGTGGTTTGGGGTAGGCAAGAAAACATTCAAACACCCAGGAAAAAGGACATGATTCAAGGTGACCTTGTTATACTGTAGTTGTTAAGCAACTCCAATAGTGTATCTGCATTTACCATTTGTTCATCTACGTTCACCTACATGCAGTATTATGTACTAGAAGAAAACGGGGAAATGCAAGCAAATTCAACTTTATTTTTCTGTTGTATATATGTACACCCACACCGTTCACTTGTGTTTTGTTAAAGAGGTCGTCACAAAGGGCTTATGAAAATCACTTTTGAGTTAATAATTAGATGACAAGCAATCCTGTGATCCACTAATTTGTTTTATCTGTTATGATTATAAAGCAATCAGTTATGTATTTAAGTTGTTTTGATTTAACTACAAATATAAGATTATATGTACTGATGTCTCCCGGCCCTTATCTGTGGATATTTTTTAAATGGACTTGTATGCTGATAATTCTAGACCAAAGTAAATATGGCAGAATATTTATACATAAAAATAATTTTGCAAATATTTTCTATAATTGTATCGTTCATTTAAAATGTTGATAGTTTGTGTTAGTTTCAGGGAGGGGTGTATATTTTGATAAAATACTTGACTTTGTAATTCTGTATATTCTATACAATTTATAGCAGAGCCATTTTAAGACAACTGGTTACATTTTTTTTTCTTGATTGTGAAAATGTTATGAGTGGTGTTTAATTATGCATCAAGTCCATAACGACCAAGTAGAATTACAGTGTAAACAGTGAGCATACTGTATTCTGTACAAGATATATTGTAATTTGCTGTTTTAGCGTCTGTATTTTGGTTAGAAGATATTATTAAATGCAGATGTTAAAGATTGGAAAGGTTTAATTTTATTTTTAGAAATAATGAATATAAATTTGTTTTGCTTGATTAAAATAGCTTATTCCTACATTAAGTCTCTTTTTAAAATGTCTTAGTATTAATTCTTTTTTTTTTTTTAAAGTGAGGATCTGTGTATTTATTTAGGGGCTGGGTGACCGGTCCCCAAAGAGTTTAAAAGCAAAATAAACAAACAAACAAACAAACAAGCAAACAAACAAAAAACTACAGTCACAAATGCCTGCATTTCTAGTTCCAGGGCCCCCTGTGGTCTCTGGGCATAAGTAGTGGGGTGTTTGCCCTAAGTTCAACACCTTGTACCCAAAAACAAAACAAATCAAGCAAACAACAATGAAAACCAAACCCCATAATTGTAGCTGAAAAAAAAAAAACCTTTACATTGATAAAGAATATCTACCAAGAACACTTTAAATAACAATGAATTAAAAACATTCGCTTTGAAGTCCCAATAACAACGGTGAGTTAATTTTGACAAAAATAAGTCACTGTGGTTGCTCACTTAGAAAATTCAGGATGTTTATACATACAATTATAATTAATTATAATTAGATAAAAATTACGCACAAAATTAATGTTTTTATTTAATAACAACAGCAAATTCGAATGGGCAATAAAATGGAAGATTTCTTTTATAACAACAAATAAATCATAAAAAATACAAATCCAAATTAAATACAGGCAAGACCTCTAAGCACAAAAGTCAAATTTAACGAAAGGTACAACAAGCAAACTTAGCTAAGTGTGAGTGAGGAGCATTACACAGAACCTCGAATACCCAGTTCTGTATTAGCCCGGTTCTCCTAAAGCAAACCTGAACATTCATTTTAAATATTATCTAAAACCCAACATGTTTTTCTAAAATTTCCCCACACTATCCCAATATTTCTAAGAAAATGTAAAGGCCTAATAATAACAGACCATTTTTTTGCAAAAGAATAGAAAAGTGATACTTCATATTAACTCTGAGATTTATTAAAAGGCAGTAATAATAAAAACAATTTATGATTTCAAGAGTAAGAACAATGAAACAAAATAGGAAGACCAAAATTAGACCTGTGTGTTCATAAAAGCCTCATGGGAGACATAGTATTGTCATAAAACCTAGATGGTGGGATACCTGGAAAGCGCTGAATCTATCTGAGTATCTTAGTTAGACTCTTAGTGTTAATTCTTGTGCAGCTATTTCATCTTGGTGAGTCAGGGCTTTGTTACACACAATACTCATTCAATATATTGTCTCCTTGCTTACATCTCCTGGTACCTACATGCTTCAGATTTATAAACTGTGATATTAAACTCCTTTAATCCCAGCACTCAGGAGGCAGAGGCAGGAAGATCTCTCAGTTTGAAGCCACTGGTCTATATAATGAGCTACTAAGAGAAATCAACAAAAATACTGAGTAGCAGACATTGATCTCTCATAGATTACTGTCAGGATAAGCCTGATGTGATGTGGTACCTCAGAGTGAATACTCACTCAAAAGTATTCTAGTCTCACAGAGAACAAATTACATTTACTGAGTCCTAGGCACGTGGCTATGTCTTTGGATCTAAGCATTCATTATCCACCCCCAGTTCTGAAGGGAGCCCCAGTCCCTGCTTTGTAGTGAACTTGGAGTGGCAGTCCTTCAGCTAGACAGGGTACGGCGTGCCCGATCCCAAAACCCATGTGTTTGAACTTTCTCCGCGTTTTTAATAAAAATGCTTATAGGAAACTGGAGAGTGAGGGACAAGACAAAGTCAGACAGCTTTGGAACGTTCTAGAGGCTTCTGTGAAGTGGGCCGAAGGAAGCTGTGTCTAACTCAGTGTCGTATGTCCTCAGTTGCTCTTATGGTCTCGGGATATTGCCTCCATAAAGCCTGCTTCCACAGCGTCTGCCTCGCCTGTTTTTTATTTTTTAAGATAATGGAGTGAAGTTATCATTTCATGCCGCTATCAACCAGCAATCTTTCTTAGGAAGAAAATTGTTCCATTATCACAGACGGTATTCCTAACCTTAGCTGGTCATCCTGTGGCAATACAGTCAGTCACAAGGGAAATGCAGAAAGGGGTTCTGAGAATGTAGTCCACCAACACAAGCGAAGAAATCCAGACTTTTTAAACACAACCGCATTATCCAGCAGAACATTTTAAATAGTAAATAAGCTTGTAGCCAGGCATGGTGGTGCACACCTTTTATCCTAGCAACGAGGCAGAGGCAGATGGATTTCTGTGAGTTAGAGACCAACCTGGTCTACATAGTGAGTTCCAGGGCAGCCGGGACTATTCAGAGAGACCCTGTCTCAAAAAGAGCTGGAAGCAATTAAGGAAGTACTCATATGAAAAGCATCTAAAACAAATCAAATTTAAAAAGTGAGGCTTTGAGAAAAAAAGAGAGAGAGAGAGAGAGAGAGAGAGAGAGAGAGAGAGAGAGAGAGAGAGAGAGAGAGAGAGAGAGAGAGAGAGAGAGAGAGAGAGAGAGAGAGAGAGAGAGAGAGAGAGAGAGAGAGCCGGGCGGTGGTGGCGCACGCCTTTAATCCCAGCACTCGGGAGGCAGAGGCAGGCGGATCTCTGTGAGTTCGAGGCCAGCCTGGTCTACAAGAGCTAGTTCCAGGACAGGAACCAAAAGCTACAGAGAAACCCTGTCTCTCTCTTTGCAGAGGCAAGGACACTTCCAGTTTGGGTTTCGTCCATGTCTGAGAACTTCTTACCCCGCCCCCCCAAACCCCAGCCACCCTATGGCTTTTCCTTCCAGATAGTTTTTTTCCATCCTAGTTTGCACCCTTTGGCCCTGATTCTTCAGGAAATATGATCACTGAGCAGGTTTGTTGGCACACAGTAATCTCTTGATTACAGACAATGGAAAACCTGGTCATATTAGAAATGCTATATTTAGCGATGGCAAAGGCATCAATTATATAGTAAATGGTTTTGTGGGCCAAGGAGATGGTTCTGCTGGTAAAAGCACCTGCAACCAATCTAACAACTGGTTAGACTTGGAGGACTCACATAGTGGAAGGAGATTCCCACAAGTTGCCCTCTGACCTCCACACATGGGCTTTGGCAGAACACACACACACACACACACACATAAAAATATTTTTAATGTTTCTAAAAAAAAATCAGTGTTAGTCTCCTGATAAAAGTTATGTCTTCTGAGTAATTACAGGTGTAGGTATTTTTTACCTAACATTAAAAAAAACTTCTGTAGGTGGAGATTTAAAAAGCTGGGTCAATGCTAATTTATATAGAATTCTTTTTTTGCTGTTGTTTGGTTTTGATTTGGGTTTTTAAAAACAGGGTCTGACTATGTAGACCAGGCTTGCCTTAAGTCCAAGATTCTCCTCTTTCCACTCCCCATCTGCTGTGATTACAGGTGGGCCTTAATGTTGTGGGATATTTGTTCACTGTGTAAAGATATACTTCTGTGATTGGTGTAATAAAGAGCTGAATGGCCAATATCTAGGCAAGAGATATAGGCAGGACTTCCAGGCAGAAGAGAGGATGTAGGAGGAGGAATGTAGGTGCAGGAGGGAAACATATAGAATGAAAAAAGGTAAAAAAAAAAAATCTACATGATAAAACATAGATTAATAGAAACCGGTTAAGTTGTAAGAGCTAATGGGACAGGCATAAGCTAAGGCTAAGCTTTCATAATAAGTCTCCATGTCATTTGTGAGCCCACCAGAAAATTCCATCTGTACCCTAACACATTTAGTTCTGAGTATTGTGCACTTTATCTAGGCGTGGGTCATAAAGATGTGTGGCAACATACTACTTAAGTCTCACGAAGGAGGAGGATGAAGCAACAGAGAATTCGAAAATTGAGTCTGAGCTCCCAAGGGTTCAAAACCAGAGCAGAAAGAAGTTCGGAGGAGACCCCGGCCTCAGGGCCAGGCCCATGTTGGTATGACTGGAACAAAAGGAGCCATAGATGGGTGTAAACTGTTCCAAAAGACTGAGCTTGGGTAAGCCTGCTGGACAGGCAGGCAAAGGGCACAGCGGGTCTTTGTGGAGTGCTAAGGCACAGCATTGAACTTCTTTCTCTTCTGACACATGGGGCTGTGGTGGAGCTGGGGAGGGCCCAGTGGGAGGGGACAAGGTCAGAGAGGTACCTAAAGTCCCAAGGGCCTTTGGAGAGCTTGCACAGAAAGGGGAAGGATTTGCTGCTTTCAATGGGAACACTCTTCCTGCAGTGTAGTGAACACACCACCAGAGAGGAACACTCTTCCTGCAGTGTAGTGAACACACCACCAGCGAGGGCAAGGCTGGAGGCAGGAGAGCAGGTAAGAGATTGAGAATGGCTGGGTGGGAGGTGTCAGGGACTTGGACAAGCCTGAGAATGGAACATAGAAGGACGTTGGAAATCATAAGGGCAAGCCAGGCAGTGGTGGCGCATGCATGCCTTTGCTGAGGTAGACGCATCTCTGAGTTCAAGACCAGCCTGGTCTACAAGACCTAGTCCCAGGACAAACTCCAAAGCTTCAGAGAAACCCTGTCTCGAAAAAAAAACAATAAAAATGAATAATAAGAGCATGTCACATTCTAGACATATATTTTTAGATCTTTTGATGTGAAAATTTCCAAATACACAGCTCCCAAGTACCCATAATTCTATGCCAACAATTCATCACCAATCATATAGTTTAGCTGTACCCTCCCCAACTCTATTGTATTATTTTAAAGCAGGGCCTGGACAGCAGACCATTTCAAATGTACTAATATCACTATGATCATTCTAAAAAGTAAATAGTGGGCTGGAGATATGGCTCAGCAGTTAAGAGCACTGGCTGTTCTTTCAGAGGACCTGGGTTCAAGTTCCAGCACCTGCAAGGTAGCTTACAACTATCTGTAATTACAGTTCCAAGGTATCTGACATCTTCTGGTCTTCTCAGGCACCAGGAATGTGTATAGTGTGGCCAAACATAGAACACTCACATAAAATAAGAAGTAAATCTATTTTTTAAATTAATAGTTACCAGCTCCAGAGATAGCTGTCAATAAAGTGCTTGCCAGTCAAACCTGGTGACTTGAGTTTGGATTCTGAGCACACTTGTAAAAAGCTACATACATGC